GCCATGATCGCAGAGGCGGCCACGACGGCCAACACAAGCGGCATCAACGCGGAGGCAGCAGCACTGCGGTCAGCATTCAGCTTCAGATCAAGGCTCTTACCGTGCGCTGTCACGATCCTCTTTCGCCCATCAGCAGTGCTTTCAGTACTGTCACCTGTGACGTCAAGAGTCGCTGTTGTTTGATGGTTTTCAGAGGGTGGAACGGTGCTGATGGAGCTCTCACCAGAAGAGGAAGTACTCGAAATTGTTTCCGTGGCGACACCAGTAGCGTCTTTACTCTGGGATGGGTTAGACGTCGTAGCGGAAGGCGCCACCACACCATGGGTAGCGGCATCTGTGCCAGCGAACGTGGTAGATGTGCTTCGGTCGGACCTTGGAGTGGAAGACGGGTCAGCCGCCGCTTGTTGAGGGGTTGGGTCAACGATGTTCCGCTCGGTAGCCATGTTGATCAGCACATTCGACATCTCCGAAACGAACTGCGACAGGCTGGGGGCATCGCTGGGCGCGCTGATCTCAGCCTCCGGCAGCATGGTGGTGCACACGTCCTCGTACCGCGGGCAAGTAATGTTGCCGTTCCCACCGAAGTCGCCGTGCGCCCTCAGAGACTTCCCCTCCGGGCAGAAGTAATACGTGGGGGCACCAGCGTACTGCACGTACACCGAGCCGTAAAAGCACGCAACGCGCACGCACACGTCACCAAGCGGCTCGCCCTTCACCGTCAGATTCTTCCCCTCCACGCACCGAGAGCTCGCGCCGACAAGACTCCCAGGCATCTTGCTCTCAGTGCCATCAATGCAGCTGAAGCCTGTGCTCGCCACAATAATGGGGCAGTAGTCCATCATGTCCTCCCGCCTGCCACCAGGCATCTTGTTGTCTTTAGTCATCTTAAAATAACTGTATATCTCGGGAATTTTAGTATGATTCTCAATGGCACACGTTCCCAACGCCTGGCGGTCAGACGTGCATCGCAATTTGGGTTCCTCTGTTTTGTCGCAGAACATGCTGGGGTACTTAGATTTACCGTTTTCAACGCATTTCTTATCTTTCAGAAACTCGCAACCAGAGTTATTTCCCCAACTCATCGGCTCTGCCTTGGTCCACACAACCTGATAATAGCCCAGGTCAGCGAACGCTGCAAGTGTCAGTCCAGTGTAGTGGCCAGCGCCCACAAGACCAGCCATCAGCTCGTCCTTCGCATTGCGCCGCTTCCAGTGGGAACTCACACCAAACCTTGTGGAGAATCTCCCGACCTTCGGGTCAAGACTCACTTGAGCAGCGGCAGGGCCGGAAGAGCCGTCTGTCTTTCCTTCTAGAGAAATAGCTGACCTCAAATTCAACGGGCTGCTTTTAGGCACTTCCGCAGCGGGTCCACCAGCTGCCCACGACATACTGGCCTCCAGTTCCATGCCATTAAAGTCCTCGCATTGGTAGTGATACGATCCCCATAATTTCGCATTCGCTGCATCAAAGACGTGGATTTCCTTTCCGCGGGCATTCTCAGTCGCCAATTTAACCTTTCTCATTTTCTCCTGTTTCTTCATGGTTTCCACGTTAAACCCAAGGGTGTGCGCAATCTCGTGTGCGGCGACGCGGACGGCCTGCGGCGTGCGGGCAATGTGGCGCGGGCTGTAGTTGATCACGCCAATCAACGGTTGACCGTTGGAGTGCTCCGCGCACGTCGCTGCCCACGCAAAGGCGCCATCAAGCGTCGGCGTAGCAGTGGCGTACAGCACCATGTCGACGTCATCAACACCGTACGTGTGGTGATTCTCAGGGATTTTCAAATGAACGCAGGGGTTCATACCGTGGAACTTTGGGATGAGGAGGTATTGAATTACTGGCCTTATGTACAGGCGCTCAGTGTGCAGCTTCACAGCCTCCGGTATAATAGTCTTTTCCAGAATATTCTTCTTCTCCTCCGTCAGGACGTCATCCTGCGTGCAGCGCACCTTCGTGCCCAAGATGGTAGTGATCTCACCCAAGGTAGTATTCCCACAAGTCTGAGAATCCTCTGTGGCCACATAGAACACCTTTACGCGGAGAGGCTTATATCCTGCCTCGGGTAACAGAAGGGGCTTCCTCTCGTCAAAATTAGGAAGCTTGACAGTTCTTTTCACCAGATCATCTTCTGATGGGTTTATTTTCAACATCGTACCGAAAATAGGTTGAATTTTCTCCACAAAACCCAGTTTGTGGGATACGTAGTCGTAGATGCAGCGGTGGTGCTCCGTCACTGCGAGTGTGCTGCCGGCGCAGTGCACAAGGAGCAGCAGCGTCACGCCCAGCAGGTGTCGCATCCCTTGAGCGTTGCTGTTGGCAGGCAACTTGATCTTGCGGGGGGGAATAATACAAGGAGCACAGGAAAGTGAAGCAGAGAAAAAAGTGAAGTGAGGCACCGCAACGCACAAACACTAAAGCTCACGTGTGCCACAGATGGACACCCACATGGCAGAGGAAGGAGGGCACAGCAACCGCGTCAAGAATTGGGGGTGGAGGGGTGGTGTCAGTCACGCACGCAATGCGCATCACTCAGCTCAGGCGTTTTGTTAGGATGTGGTGGTTCAGCCTCATCACGACGGCACATACTAGGGGAACTATGAAACATAAAAGAAGAACAGAGATGGAGAGGCACAGAGGAAGCAAAAAACAATATAAGGCGAAGCTGGAGATGTATTTAGCAATGAGAGCAAGATAACCCTTGTTTAAGTATTTTTCTGAATTCCCATTCCCAAAGTAGTGGGCATAAAATAGTCTGCCTTACCTTGTGCAAGCATTTCTCTTGGAAACCTTCTGTGGATGCAGTCGTGAAGCATGTGCCATCACTTTCAACATGAAGTTTGACGCTCCTTGGGGGCGCTTTCCGTGGCATATGTTCAAAAGAGGTGGAGGGCGGCTAGGGGAGCCTTACATGTATGCTAAAACAATAGATTAGAAACATAAAGCAAATCTTCCTCCTCTACCCTCTCCGTTATTAGTAAGTGTTATTCGCCTGTGACGCTCCTGACTTTCGCAGCAGCAGGTGCGACACGGGCTACAATGGTCTGCATGTGTGGCACGGAGAGCGCATCGTGTTTAACGCCTCTCCTAACGTCATCTCTTGTCTATCACGGTGGACGCAGGAGTTGTCTACGCGGTGGAACACCTCGCCAGTGGGGCTGACAACGACGGGCATTTTCTCATTTACGTGCCGCCATATGCCGCGTTTCTTGTGCCGTGCGTCGAGCAGGGCGGCGTTCAACACATCTGTGTGCTGAGCGCCGGCCTGCCGCGATGCGTAGAGGTATGCGAGGCCCATCTCAAGCAAAGCGGCATTGAGGCACACAAAGCCGTCACCGCTGTGGTGTGGCACGTACACTAACGCGAGACGGCCGCTCATGTCACGTCGTGAGCAGCCGTTGTACTCCACCGTCACCTTTGTCCCTTCTGGGCAACGCCGCCGCAAGAAGTCGTAGCATTCCCGCGCGTGCGGTGCCCGTTTGCTCATCTCCGGCAAGTCAATGCCAAGCAAGCGCAAACGTGGGTGATCCTCGCGGGATAGCACCATTGTTTCGCCGTCCTTGACAGAGTGCACGGTTTCAGTTACGGTGGAGCTGCGGTTCGGTACCTTCAGGAAGTAGCAGACGCGCCTGTTGTTCAAAAATTCATTCTCAGCCTCCGTCGCCCGCGTATCTAGCACCTTGAAGTGGGGCATGCTACATTGACTACAACCACCGCCCATATGATTATCTCTCAGCCCAGAAAACTTAACGTTGCAAACACTGCTGGTGAGAAATGAGGTGGAGATTATATTCGGGAGAAGACGCAGCCACCGGAATTCGCTCGCATACATGCACACAGCACCGTCTGTTGTTCTTCTTCCCCCACCTTCGCTCTCTCGCCCTTCATCTCCGCGACCGCTTCCCCAGTTACCGCTTCAAAGCTCAACTAACCCCCTTGTTCCGGCACCCAGCGCGAAGGCGTGGGGAACGAACGGGGTTGAAAATAAAGGGAGGAATAAAATAAATAAAAAAAAGACGCTCACACAGACACACACACACAGAGAGACACCATTAGTGAATGATCGCCACACAGCTGTTTTATTTCTCTGCCAATACAAAAGACAAACGCGGTAGCAGACGCCACACCGTATGCGTCCATAACAACAATGTATTCCGATGGGGAGACAATGGAAACTCAAGGAAGAAAGAATTTTTAAACAAAAACAATACTGGGCCCATGCTGAGGGCATCGAGTGCGCAGAGCACTGGCATACGATGTACGTCAGCCGGTATCAAATTAACAGATGCAAGCCATTCTTCTTCTTTTTTTCTGGTTTGGCCTTTTATGATGCCCCTGTTGCAACTACCCCAAACGGTTTACACCTGCGGCACGGGGAGAACAGCCGATCCAACGCCTCTCCCACCGTCACCTTGTGCGTTTTCACGATGCATTTGGTGCCGACACGGTGGAAGGCCTTGCCGTGGTCGCCAATAACCACAGTGCGAGATTCATCCACATTTTCCCAAGTTTTGCGTTTCTCCCGCCTTGCCACAATCTGCGCTACACTCAACGCATCCTTCATCGTGTTCTCTCCATGCCGTGCCAGGTACAAAGACGCCAGGCCCTTCTCCACCATGGCGACATTGACGCAAATAAAATCGTCCCTGTGGGGGTGCTTCACGTACACGTAGGCGAGAAGCCGTCCATACTTGTCTGTTCGCTCCGTCTCCATGAGCTGCAACAGGATTGCACGTCCCTTGGGGCAGAGGGCACGGAGGAAATCACGGCTCTCAGCTGCATATGGCTGGCGCTCACGGATCTCCGGCGCGTCAATGCCGACTAACCGGACTCTTTTGCCGCCTTCGAGTGTTAGTGTGTCACCATCATACACGTGATGGACCTTATGTTGCTCCACCAGCCCATCAGTTGGTGCCGTTGGGTAACATGAGAGACTAATATCTTGATATGTTTGGCTGTCGTCGGCAGTGGCCGCCTCGGAGCTCGAGCAGCAACCCATTTCTATATGCGCTATCACCCAGCCCACCCCAAAAGAACGAAAAAAAAAATGAGAAGTGAGTTAGGGACGAGAATGGGGGTGTAGGGCTTGTTCATTGTGGCCAATTGTCTTCTTTGCTCAGGAAGCAACTCCTGCTTCGGCAGCTGCAACGCAATACTGAACTATTCGTCAGGGCACGCATGTACTCAAAAAACACACAACGAAAGATAGAAAAGAATAGTACACGCATCACTCAAGTAGATACTGACAAAATGCGCCGGTCAGTGTTGCGCGCGCGGGCACACTCACCGCAAATTCAGCATCAACACTTCCCAAAAACCGTTCCCGTTGTTGCTGCAGTTGAGCAATGAGGGCCGCCTTTGCCGCATTGTCACTTTCAAGGGCCTCCATGTCCCGCAGGAGCTGACAGAGGTCACTGGAAAGAGGTTCATTACTGCTGTCACGAGAATTCAGGCGCGTCGCTGGGCCGCTCAGTATGAAGCCAGATAGCTCAACAGAAAGAAGCGTCTGCGTCGCCGCGTCACACCTCTCTACTTCCGCAGGTGGTGCGCCGCATTCGCGTTGCTGCCGCAGCGTTGGGACGTCTAGGCCCATCCATGACGTTGCGCGCTGGGTGGTCGAGTCAAGACGCTGCTGTAGCTGCTGCGCCAATGCGGCGCCCTCCTCCCCGACCTCGTGGAGACGATGCGCCGCGGCCTGCCGCTCCACCGCGCGATCACGTTGCTCACGAGCGATACTCTCGCGCAACTCGTCGCGCTCGCCGAGAAGTTTTCGCACGAAGAGGGCCATTTCGTTATGCTCCTGCTCGACTGCGCAACGCAGCGCACGCGCAAAAATAAGCAACTGCAGCTGCGGCTGCTGCAACGAAGCGGAGGCATCACAGGGAAGAGAGGCGGCAAGACGACCAACCTCTTCCCACAACTGTGCCACCCTCTTGAACGGCGTGTCATTCTCAACCTTCACTGCAGCGGCATCGACAAACGCGGCAGTGGCCGCATCCATCGCGGCGACGAACTCCCCTGCATCCCCCACAGCCGCTCTAAACTCCGCAACGGCGCCCTCTTCCCCATCCCACGGCACCCCTTCCAGCGGTTCCGCGATGGAGAAGCCGTGCAGCCTGCGCAGATGGCGTATCTCCTCGTCACGACGCGCCAATGCATCGCGGAGGTCCCGGATACTCTGCGCATCAACGCGGATACGCCGCTCATCCTCGTCATGTGCAATCTGCTTCTGCATTTTCTCCTGTATCTCAGCGTATGCAGCCTGTAGCTTCTCACGCGCCACGCGTTCCTCATGTAGTTGGCGCAGTAGCCCCTCCTCACGTGCGCGGAGCATATCCAGTCCAGACGGTGTCGCATCCTCCCGCACACGTTGCGACACTCCAACAGTGTGGGGCAGAGACGTCTGCGGCAACTTCAGCGGCGATGTGTAATTTGGACTCTTCGCCACCTTCCGCAAAGGCGGTGCCGGTGCCGGTGCTGCGCGGCAGCGATCGAGTTCCTCGAGAAGCAACGCGTTGTCCCGTTTGAGGCGCTCACACAACTTTCCGCGGTGTGCGCATCTGTCCTCTAGCTCCTGTATGTATCGCATCAGTCTCTCCTCCACGTAACGCTTATAGCGCAGCAGCACCTCCCTCGTACGCTGCACCTCACTTTCTGCTGTCGTCTGTTTCTCCTTTCCCCGCACCGCATCCATGAGGCCATGTTCGGGCGATCCGTTGTTCCTCTTGTGCGCATTGCGACCAGCAGAGAACTGCTGGCCCCACTCAGTCCACTGGAGCACTGGGGACGGAGACCAACTATACTGGTTGCTGTAGTTGTCGTCTTCATCGTCGTCGGACCTCACAAGTCCACGACGACCGCTACTGCTGCCGCGGCGAAGACGCCCTGCACTGCTGTGGGGCATCCGCACTCCTTCGCGCCGCCCATCAGCTTTGCTGTGGTGATGGTGCAACAACTTCTCACGTACGGGAGTCGATATAGACGGGGACACCGCCTGACCAACACGCCTCGCCCGGCCACCGCTGCTACCGCTAGGCACCCACG